GACTATATCCTTTCCCATGTTAGGGAAGTTTTCAATCAAGTCCAGGAAGCACAGAGTCCCATACAGGATAAATCCAAGGAGAAACACGCTAAGACACATATTAATCAAGCTATCAAAAATTAAATACAAAGAAAAAATATTAATAGCAGCAAGGGAAAAGTAACAAATAATATACAAGGGAATCCCAATAAGGTTAACAGCTGAACTTTCAACAGAAACTCTGCAAGCCAGAAAGGAGTGGCAGGACATATTTAAAGTGATGAAAGGGAAAAACCTACAAACAAGGTTACTCTACCCAGCAAGGATCTCATTCAGATTCCACAGAGAAATTAAAACCTTTACAGACAAGCAAAAGCTAAGAGAATTCAGCACCACCAAACCAGCTTTACAACAAATGCTCAAGGAACTTACCTAGGCAGGAAAGACAAGAGAAGGAAAAGACCTACAATAACAAACCCAAAACAATTAAAATGGTAACAGGAACATGCATATTGATAACTACCTTAAATGTAAATGGATTACATGTTCCAACCAAAAGACATAGACTGGCTGAATGGATACAAAAACAAGACCCATATATATGCTGTCTACAAGAAACCCACTTCAGACCTAGGGACACATATAGACTGAAAGTGAGGGGATGGAAAAAGATATTCTGTGCAAATGGAAATGAAAAGAAAGTTGGAGTAACAATTCTCATGAGTCAAAATAGACTTTAAAATAAAGACTATTACAAGACACAAAGAAGGACACTACATAATGATTAAGGGATCAATGCAAGAAGAAGATATAACAATTGTAAATATTCATGCACCCAGCATAGGACCACCTCAATACATAAGGCAGATGCTAACAGCCATAAAAGGGGAAATCGACAGGAACACAGTAACAGTAGGGGACTTTAACACCCCACTTTCACCAATGGATAGCTCAACCAAAACAAAAATAAATAAGGAAACACAAGCTTTAAAAGATACATTAACCAAGATGGACTTAATTGGTTTTATAGGACACTCCATCCAAAAACAACAGAATACACTTTCTTCTCAAGTGCTCATGGAACAGTCTCCAGGATAGATCATATCTTGGGTCACAAGTCAAGCCTTGGTAAATTTAAGAAAATTGAAATTATATCGAGTGTCTTTTCCGACAACAACACTATACGACTAGATATCAATTACAGGGAAAAAATTGTAAAAAATACAAACACATGGACGCTAAACAATATGCTACTAAATAACCAAGGGATCACTGAAGAAATCAAAGAGGAAATAAAAAATACCTAGAAGCAAATGACAATGAAAACATGAGAGCCCAAATCCTATGGGATGCAGCAAAACCAGTTCTAAGAGAGAAGTTTATAGCAATACAATCCTACCTCAAGAAACAAGAAAAATCTCCAACAACCTAACCTTACACCTAAAGCAATTAGAGAAAGAACAAAAAAACCCACCAAAGTTAACAGAAGGAAAGAAATCATAAAGATCAGATCAGAAATAAATGAAAAAGAAATGAAGGAAACGATAGCAAAGATGAATAAAACTAAAAGCTGGTTCTTTCAGAAGATAAACAAAATTGATAAACCATTAGCCAGACCCATCAAGAAAAAAAGAGAGAAGACTCAAAGCAATAGAATTAGAAATGAAAAAGGGGAAGTAACAGCTGACACTGCAGAAATACCAAGGATCATGAGAGATTCCTACAAGCAACTATATGCAAATAAAATGGACAACCTGGAACTCTTAGAAAAGCACAACCTTCTGAAACCGAACCAAGAAGAAACAGAAAATATAAACAGACCAATCACAAGCACTGAAATTGGATCTGTGATTAAAAATCTTCCAACTTGGGCTTCCCTGGTGGCGTGGTGGTTGAGAGTCTGCCGATGCAGGGGACATGGGTTTGTGCCCCGGTCCAGGAAGATCCCACGTGCCGTGGAGCGGCTGGGCCCGTGAGCCATGGCCGCTGAGCCTGCGCGTCCGGAGCCTGTGCTCCGCAACGGGAGAGGCCACAACAGTGAGAGGCCCGCGTACCGCAAAAAAAAAAAAAATCTTCCAACAAAAGCCCAGGACCAGATGGAACAGGCAAATTCTATCAAACATTTAGAGAAGAGCTAACACCTATCCTTCTCAAACTCTTCCAAAATATAGCAGAGGGAGGAACACTCCCAAACTCATTCTACGAGGCCACCATCACCCTTACACCAAAGCCAGACAAGGATGTCACAAAGAAAGAAAACTACAGGCCAATATCACTGATGAACATAGATGCAGAAATCCTCAACAAAAACTAGCAAACAGAATCCAACAGCATACTAAAAAGATCACACACCATGATAAAGTGGGGTTTATCCCAGGAATGCAAGGATTCTTCAATATATGCAAATCAATGAATGTGATACATCATATTAACAGACTGAAGGATAAAAACCATATGATCATCTCAATAGATGCAGAAAAAGCTTTTGTCAAAATTCAACACCCATTTATGATAAAAATTCTCCAGCAAGTGGGCATAGAGGGAACCTACCTCAACATAATAAAGGCCACATATGACAAACCCACAGCCAACATCGTTCTCAGTGGTGAGAAACTGAAACCATTTCCACTAAGATCAGGAACAAGACAAGGTTTCCACTCTCACCACTCTTATTCACCATAGTTTTGGAAGTTTTAGCCACAGCAATCAGAGAAGAAAAGGAAATAAAAGGAATCCAAATCAGAAAAGAAGTAAAACTGTCACTGTTTGCAGATGACATGATACTACATACAGAGAACCCTAAAAATGCTACCAGAAAACTACCAGAGCTAATCAACGAATCTGGTAGAGTAGCAGGATACAAAATTAATGCACAGAAATCTCTTGCATTGCTCTACACTAATGATGAAAAATCTGAAAGAGATATTAAGGAAACACTCCCATTTACTACTGCAACAAAAAGAATAAAATACCTACGAATAAACCTACCTAAGGAGACAGAAGACCTGTATGCAGAAAATTATAAGACACTGATGAAAGAAATTAAACATGATACAAATAGATGGAGAGATATACCGTATTCTTGGATTGGAAGAATCAACACTGAAAATGGCTATATCACCCGAAGCAATCTACAGATTCAATGCAATCCCTATCAAACTACCAATGGCATTTTCCACAGAACTAGAACAAAAAAATTTCACAATTTGTATGGAAACACAAAAGACCCCAAATAGCCAAAGCAATCTTGAGAAAGAAAAACGGAGCTGGAGGAATCAGGCTCCCAGACTTCAGACTATTACTACAAAGCTACAGTAATCAAGATAGTCTGGCACTGGCACAAAAACAGAAATATAGATCGATGGAACAGGATAGAAAGCCCAGAGATAAACCTACGCACATATGGTCACCTTATCTTTGATAAAGGAGGCAAGAACATACAATGGAGAAAAGAGCCTCTTCAGTAAGTGGTGCTGGGAAAACTGGACAGCTACATGTAAAAGAATGAAATTAGAACACTCCCTAACACCATACACAAAAATAAACTCAAAATGGATTAAAGACCTAAATGTAAGGCCAGACACTATCTAACTATAGGCAGAACACTCTAATAAATCACAGCAAGATGCTTTTTGACCCACCTCCTAAAGAAATGAAATAAAAACAAAAATCAACAAATGGGACCTAATGAAACTTAAGAGCTTTTGCACAGCAAAGGCAACCATAAAAAAAGATGAAAAGACAACCCTCAGAATGGGAGAAAATATTTGCAAACAAAGTAACTGACAAAGGACTAATCTCCAAAATATACAAGCAGCTCAGTATCAAAAAAAAAAAATAACCCAACCCCAAAATGGGCGGAGACCTAAATAGACAATGCTCCAAAGATATACAGATTGTCAACAAACACATGCAAGGATGCTCAACATTACTAATCATTAGAGAAATGCAAATCAAAACTACAATGAGGTATCACCTCACACCAGTCAGGATGGCCATCATAAAAAAACCTACAAACAATAAATGTTGGAGACAGTGTGGAGAAAAGAGAACCCTCTTGCACTGCTGGTGGGAATGTAAATCTCCAGCCACTATGGAGAACAGTATGGAGGTTCCTTAAAAAACTAAAAATAGAACTACCATATGACCCCACAATCCCACTACTGGGCATATCCCCTGAGAAAACCTTAATTCAAACAGAGTCATGTACCACAATGTTCACTGAAGCACTATTTACAATAGCCAGGACATGGAAGCAACCTAAGTGTCCATCGACATATACAATGGAATATTACTCAGCCATAAAAATAAATGAAATTGAGTTATTTGGAGGTGGATGGACCTAGAGTCTGTCACACAGAGTGAAGTCAGAAAGAGAAAAACAAGTATCATATGCTAACACATATATATGGAATCTTAAAAAAAAAAAAAGGGTTCTGAAGAACCTAGGGGCAGGACTGGAATAAAGAAAAAAGATGCAGACCAGAGAACGGACTTGAGGACTCTGGGAAGGAGAAGGGTAAGCTGGGACAAACTGAGAGAGTGGCACCAACATATATACACTACGAAATGTAAAACAGATAGCTAGTGGGAAGCAGCCGCATGGCACAGGGAGACCAGCTTGGTGCTTTGTGACCACCTAGAGGGGTGGGGTAGGGAGGGTGGAGGGAGATGCAAGAGGGAGTAGATATGGGGATATACGTATACGTACAGCTGATTCACTTTGTCATACAGCAGAAACTAACACACCACTGTAAAGCAATTATACTCCAATAAAGATGTTAAAAAGAAAGGGAAGATTTCATTTATAATAAACTATCACTTTATTTTGACTAAACAAAGACAGTGGATAAATTTGTTATTGTGACCATCCCTTTCACATCCAAACTGTAACCACTCACATTTAGAGAGCTAACTGTATTCAAATGAAACCATTTACAAGAACTGCCAAAGGTAAAAGATAATTTAAAATATCAATCTAATGTATTTTTATGTGAAATATTATGGAAATGGTTCCTTACCTGAACTCCTTGTAAGTGGCTCTGAGGCACTACTAGTGCCATAACATTCTGCTGTCTTTGCCACGGGCACACTAAATGTAAATCCAATCTGTAGAAAGAGAAGGTGTCTTTTCAGTGTCCATTTAGCTTCAAATGATTATCAAATATAAAGCTCTATTTTATGCCAAGTCAAAAAAATATACTGAATACCACATGTTCTAAGATTCACAGTTTCTCCTATTTTAAATCTCTAAAATTGGTATGCTTATAATGAATGGTGTGTCACAGTTTAACAAGAGCATTTTAAATTTCTGAAGCATTTTTTCATTCAAAGCAACATGTAAAATAATGTGCTCCTGATTCCCAGTTCCGGATTTCTAAATGCCATTTCCTAATAAAAAAATATGAGACTTTATGGCCAACAAGTGCATTTCAGGCATGTGGCAGGGAAGTTACAAAATGATCTGGAACATCTAGTTGTGACAGAAAACAAGGACACAGTGAAAAACAGAAAGTAACATGTTAAAATGATACACATGCCAAATACAGGTAGGGCAATTGGAACATTAAACTTATGTATTTTCTTACTCAAAATATTTATTCTTAATTATGAAGAAACAAATACATATTGTGGGACATAAAAACTTCCAACTTTTCTAGATTAAAGTCAATTCAAGAGACATGTTAACTAAATTCAATATGACTTAGATTAGTCCTAATCGTAAGTGGATCCAGGACCAAGACAAACAAACAACAATTAAAGGACAGTCTGGGGCTGATGGGTAGATCTGAACATGAAACACTATTACTATTATATCATGTTACATTTCTTGGATAGGATAACTGTATTGTGGGTATACAAAGGAATATCCTTTTTCTTAGGGGATACACGGAAAGGTATTAAGGGTACCAAGATGTCTGCATCCTAACTTGCAAATGGTACATAAGAAAATGCATATGCATATATGTATATATAGTAAAAAATATATAGATATTCATTCAAAGTTTTCTGTACACTGGAATTATTTTGGTGAGAAAAGTGGTATTTCTTACTACCAATGGCATCTTAGATCTGATTTTAAAAATACAGTATGCCTTTGAAATCAAATATGAAATATTCCTTGCTTGTTACTTACAGATGACGGAGGTAGTACATCTGCCTCAGTAGATTTTACAATTGGAGATGAAAATCTAAACAAGGGGCTGCCAGTGCTGTTTGGAGAGGTCATCTGTACCTAGTTTTCCAAATTATTAAAGAAACGATACAAAAATAGTTTTTTAGAAAAGAAATTGACAATAAAAAAAAGACCTTAAGCAAAATTAATTATTACAAAGAAGCCAAAAGCAATTTTTTCCCCTTTTGAATTTAAAAATCACTTTTTAACTTCTGAAAACTACTTAACAGTTAACTGCTATAAGATCTTGCTTCCTCTTGGAAGGGAAAATACATTACCTTAGAGGGAGATATTTATCTAAAGGGCAAAAATAACATCTACAAGAATATGTTCAGAAGATGTAAAAGGGAAAAAAGCATAAAAATTTCAGGAGCAGATTAAAAATGTTAATACTACTTGAGAAACAAAAACATAAATCCACTCTCACTGGAAAAAAAACCAAGTATTTTAACTGGCAACATTGTTTGGAAACAAACTAATAATCAACTCTTCCTCTAATGCATTCATAAGAATTGAAGAATGCTCCCATCATGATGTACATTAAAAAAAAAAAAGCAAAACACTATTTCCATCTTTCTCATCTTACTGAGTTGTTAATTTCCATAGTGAAAATTAATCATTGCTTTAAACAGATTAGCTTTTTTAAAAATAAAGAATGAGAAAAAACAAAAAACACCTCTATTGGTACAACGGTCTTTTACCTGGTTTGTTAATGATTGTGAAGGAGTAGTGGGTGATGGAGAGGAAGTTGTGATCGTAGAAGAACTAAAACTGAAGGTAGGCAGTGAAGAACTGGTGATGGGTAGAGAGATTCTCGGTAATACTGGGACTTGCATTTCCTAAAACACAACATGTTTTACAATGGTATATTTCATCTTTCGTGTCATACTTTTGACTCTACTTATTTTCAGGTAGAACTGATATATCAATAGTTACAGGTAAGTTTAGAATAAACAGGGATACGGTAGCACTATGCAGTGTTAATGTGAGCTCTTGAATAAAAAAAGAAAAAACTAAACAAGATATGAAACCCACCAACAAGATATGTGCCACCAGTCAGCCATGAGACTTTGTGAACCTAACTGTCCTCAGTACCAATTTCCTAACTGGTGAAAATGAGAAAAAAAATTAACATACCATAGTTGTGGTATTAATATGAAAGAAAGTCACTTTGGGTCTTGGCATGTAAAACAAGCATTTAATAAATGTCAGCACTGGTAAGTCTGGTGAACTGCCTTGGTTTTTAACTCAATATAGCAAAGACCACCACTAGTCTCAAATGACCCAGACTAGAACAAACGAAAAGAGTTCCACTTCTGCTAATGGTGGAGGAGCTTGTGTCTGACCAATGCTCTGACAGATAAGAATTATAGACGCTGGACAATATATTAAAAACATCCATCTGAAAACACTACAAAGCAACCAAAAGCAAGCAGATACTGGAGGGAAGAAGATACTTAGAAGACGGGCTTCTTCTGAGTGAGCTTCCTGCTCTCTTTGAGTTGATGCCAGTTGGATAGTTGAAATTCAGAAAGAAAACTGCAAATCCGTTGGTTGAGGCATTCAAAGGACACACAAAGGTGATCACAGTAGGTAGAAAATAAGGGGAGATGCAGGAATGAAGAGCCACAGAAGGGGAGTCCCAAGTCTGCATATAAACTGTCTAAATCTCTGGCAAACCAAATCTCTGTAAACTACAGGTGTGTAATAAAGGCACTTGGAGAAAACAAAACTAAGAATCTGTCACCATAAAACCTGCTCTATAGGTTCTTCAGGGTGAAGGGAAATGATACCAAATGGAAATTCAGATTTCTGGAAGAAGTGGAGAATATGTGAGGTAAACGTCCATTTTTCCTCTTAATTTTTCCACTTAACCTAAAAGAAGACAGCTTTCAAAAGGTACAAGAGAGAAACAAAAAACAAGTGGGAAAAACAGAAAATTTAAAAAAAGGTAGACCTTAATCCAACCATACCAATAATATAAGTAAACATTCCAATTAAAAGGCAGAAAATAGATAAAAGGACAAGACTCAATTATATGCTGTCTATAAGAGACTGACGTTAAACGAAAAGGCACAGACTGAAAGTAAATGGATGGTAAAAGATATAACTTGCAGTTAGTGAGCATAAGAAGGCTAATTCCAGTAATAAAGTGGCTGGCTATATTAAAAACCGGCTAAAGCAGGTTTCAAAACAAAGAATATTTCCAAAGATTTTTTTAAAGGACATTTAGTAATATTAAAAGGGGCAAATCACTGAGAAGCCACAATAGATATAAGGTGTATGCACCAATGAGGGCCTCAAAATAAGCAAAAATTGACATTATAAATGGGAAAAAGATAAATTCACCAAATAAAAGTTGACAATTTTAACTCATATCTCAACAATACAGTAAACAGACATCTCCCCACCCCACTCCCTCCAAAATTCAGCAAGAACAAAGATCTTAGAAATACTATCAGTCATCTTATCTAACTGATATCTAGAGAATACTACACCCAACAACCGCAGAATATACATTCATCAAGACTCATCAAGCAGACCATGTGCTGGGCTACAAAACAAGTCTCAATACATTTCAAAACATTAAAATCACGACTAAATCCACTTCTTAATAATCCACAGATCATATAAGGAATCAAAAAGGAAACTAGGAAAAACATAAAAGCAGTACTATAAATCTCCTAGAAGAAAACATAGGAGACTTTTTTGGCAGCCTGGGGATAGGTTTCTTAGGTCACAAAGAACAGTAAAAATAATGGGAAAAAATGGGTAAGTTCAGACTTCATAAAGTTAGAACATATGCTTATCAAAGAATACTGTTAAGAAAAGGATTAGGCAAGTCAAACTGGGAGAAAATATTTGTAAGACACGTATCTGACAAAGTACTTGGGTCTAGAATTTATAGAGTTCCTACAACTCGATGATAGTAAGACAATCCAATTTTTAAAAGAGCAAAAGATCTGACACTTCACAAAGGAAGATATTATGGCCAATAAACACATAAAGAAGAACACATTATTAAGCAAGAGAGAAAGGCAAATTAAAATTACAATGAGACACCATCATACACAAAGCAGAATGGTTAAAATTTAAAGGATGACAGTCAACTACTGATAAAGAGTAGTTAATTAAGAAAAGCCCCACACTGCTGGTGGGAGTGTAAAATGTTACAATCACTTTGGGGAAAACAGTTTGTCAGTTACTTAAAAAGTTAAATACATATCATATAACCTCATAACTCCACTTCTATTTACCTTAAGAGAAATAACTTATGTCTACAAAAAGGTTCAAGGATGTTCACAGCAGCTTTATTCACAATAGTCAGGAACAAAAGAATACATACTGACTATCAATATGAAGTTCTAGAACCGGCAAAACCATATATATATATATATGATGGAACAAATGAGAATAGTGACTGTCCCTGGGGCAGGAGGCAATGGGCATTGACAGGGAAGGTGTATGAGTGAACTTTCTGGAGTGATGAAAATGTCTGACAGCTTGATAAGGGGTTTGGGTTATACAGGTGGAAACATTTCTCCGGACTTCCCTGGTGGTCCAGTGGTTAAGAATCCATCTTGCAATGCAGGGGATGCCAGTTCGATCCCTGGTCGGGGAAACCAAGACCCCACATGCCATGGAGCAACTAAGCCTGTGCGCCACAACTACTGAGCCTGCACTCCACAACTACTGAGCCCGCATGCCACAACTACTGAAGCCCGCAAGCCTAGAGTCCATGCTCCGCAACAAGAGAAGCCACCACAATGAGAAGTCACCACAATGAGAAGCCAGCGCACTGCAATGAAGAGTAGCCCTTGCTCACCGCAACTAGAGAAAGCCCGCGCAGCAACGAAGACCCAACGCAGCCAAAAATTATTTTAAAAAAAAGCCTGACAGCTTAACATACACACATACACTTTTAAGGAACTGTTTCAATGGCAGATTATTCTTGTGCTGGGTCTCCCCAAACCGCACCCCTCCAGGGGACCTCCAGGTCTCCCCCTCACCACCACACCAAAGCTTTTAATAATAAACTTCAAGGTATTACGATGCTTCAGAAGAGTACAACAACCCTAAAGATGTAAAAAAAAAAGAAAAAGAAAAAGAGTACAACCCTACCTCCTCCTCTTGACGTTCAGATGCCACAAAGCGCGTCCTCGCTCGCCTCATCTTCCCACCTCCACCACCTACTCCAGAAGACAAACCATTGGCTGCAGACACACTGAAATCTGGGTAAGAAAAGCCACTAGGCAAAGAAAGAGAAAATTAAAACCAATGATGTATTACTCTGGTCCATAACTTGTTAACTAATTGAACACCAAAAAATTAGAACTGCTAACAACTGAGAAAATAAATGTTCAGCTGAATGTGATTTTAAAAGCTGACAGGGGTGTGTGTGTGTGTGTGTGTGTGTGTGTGTGTGTGTGTGTGTGTGTGGTTTCTATTTTTTTAACCTTCTTAATCTTCAAAAAGGCAGATACAAATCAAATACAGACCTTACAAATAAGTATAAAGAAGCTTCACTATAAAGATGACATTACCTTTCTCGCTGTTCTCTATTTTGTCCTGGTGTCATATTTTTTTCATATCCAGTCTAGGAAAGAATAAACACAATGTATTTACACGCTTGCTTATTTAATTTTCTTAACACCAACCTTCTATCTGTGAATTTTAATATTTGGAATCAGGAATTTGATGATTTTTTAGTTAGTGAATCCTAAAATCTGCAACCTGTACCCTGTCTCCTGAATGATGACCAAGAGCTACAGTGTGATTATACACATAAACTGTCACTAAGCACAACTGTCCTTTCAACAAAACAGCACTGTACAAATTTAATACACTTACCAACCACAAAAATACTTTTACTTATCTCTCATTATGGCCTATTAAATGTGCAATCAAATTTACAAGGATATTCCTTTTGAAATGATTCTCTGTAACTTAAGAGTTCCTCCATCTAAAGGAATCAGGGTTCCTTGGAGAAATGGCTGATTACAGGGCTGGGGCTGAAAACTCACAAGATGAGCCTGGGTTGTTTTATAGTATCAAAAAGAAACTAAGTGCTTGAAAAATGATGGGGAAATATTAAAAGGACACACAGGAGCCAGTTCAAAGGCCAAATATGGGACAATATGAGCATCAAAATAAATAATACTAATAAAAGATTATAATCTTATGAAGAATTCATGCTGACTTAAATAGAGAAATACACACAAACGAAGAGAAAAGAAAACTTCCTACAGTAGAAAACCAACTTCATAAAGGTAGAAGAAATAATGTAATTAGAAAACCACCATTTGGCATCTACAGATAATAGATTCAGGCAAATATCATCAATAATGGTGGGTGAAACACTGGTGGGTGAAAAAGATATTTATCCTCTCAAAGTTATCTTATTAATTACGAAAGGTAAAATAGTAACTTCACAGTGAAGAAATCCCACAGACGCCACCTTAGTTATCACAGTGTCAGGAGTGGGACAAGCTGGTAGAGCGTGCCTCCTAATACGACACTGAGAAGAGTTCAGACTCTATTCTGTGGTATTACTACCAAAAGTACCACACTGGAGTCTAATCATGAGGAGACGTCGAACACGCAGCTTACTTTACTCTTCAGAACTATCAATGTTATGAAATACCAAAAAACAAACAAATAAAAAAAAACCTGTTCTAGACTAAATGAGATAAAGAGATATGACAACTCAGTGCAAGACATGATCTTGCATTTTCTTTCTTTTGGGACAACTGGCATCTAAATAAAATCTGTAAATAATAGTACTGTACCAATGTCAAGTTTCTTTTTGGTTTTAGTAATTGTTCTGCAGTTATGTGTTTGTAGAAAACATCTAAATAAAATCTGTAAATAATAGTACTGTACCGATGACAAGTTTCTTTCTGGTTTGAGTAATTGTTCTGCAGTTATGTGCTTGTAGAAAACACAGAAGAACATGAAGGAAATGTAGTAAAATGTGGAGCTCTTAAGATTTTTCTTCCAAGTCCAAAATTATGCTCAAATCATTTTTTTAAAGTTTGATAAAGCAAATGTAACAAAATGTTAGACTGGTGAGTCAAGTTAAAGGAAATGGGTAAATATTGTACTATTCTTTCAACTTTAGTTTGAAAATTTTAAAGAAATTGAGTTATGAAGATTGAATGAAATTAAACATAAACAAAGGCACAAATAGGAAGATGTTATGTAAATACAAAAAAATACACTTTAGTTAAATGACACAGGAAAACAGACAAACCCAGGATACGAGACACATCATATAAGACAAATGACCTGGCCTTTTCAAATACCAATGTGCCTAACAATTCTACTCCAAGCTATAAGACCCAAGAGAAATGAATACCTATGTCCACAAAAAAACTTGCACACAAAAGTTCACAGCAGTATTTATTCATTACAGTTAAAAAGTGAAAACAACCCAAATGTCCCTCAACTGATGAATGGATAAACATGGTATATCCAAACAATGAAGTATTATTCAGCCATAAAAAGGACTGAAGTTCTAATATATGATGTGAACCTCAAAAACATAAGTGAAATAAGCCAAACACCAAGGACCACTTATTTTAAGATTTCATTTATATGAAATGTCCAGATAAGCAAACCTATAGAGACAGATTAGTGGTTGCCTAGGGCTTGAGGGGTAGAGGTGGAAAGTGACTACTAACAGATGTGAGATTTGGATGAGGGGGAGGGGATGGTGATGAAAATGTTCTAAAATTGACTGCAGTGGTAGATGAACAACTGTGAATATACTAAAACCACTGAACTGTAAACTTTAAATAAACAGGTGAATGGCAAGGTATGTGAATTATATCTCAATAAGGAAGTTATTTAAAAACAAAAACAATGTGGTGAGCATGAAGATTTGAGGTCTAGAAAGACAAAAGCAAAAGTAATATGTGAAACCTGTTTGGATTCTGGCTCGAAAGTAGCCATAGGGAATTAATTCCCTTGCAGTGCAGTGGTTAGGACTCTGCGCTTTCACTGCCTGGGCCCCAGGTTCAATCTCTGGTTGGGGAACTAAGATCCCACAAGATGCATGGTATGGCAAAAACAAAAACAAAAAAAAACCCCAAACAGCTATAAATAACATATGAATATGAACTAGATATTAGATAACATTAGGAAGGAACTGACAGTAATTTGCTTAGACATGACAACATAGGAGATCTATACCAAAGTAGTTTGGGGTGAACAGTCATGGTGTCTAAAATTTATTTTCAAATAGTTCAATAACATAAACAAAACACACAAATAAAGCTAGTGTGGCAAAATTATTTAATCTAAACAATGAATATATACTAGTGTTTACTAGTAAACACTAATTTAGGATTTGACCAAGGTGCCAACCATTTAAAGCCATACCAATTCGTAATCATCACTAATTCACAAACTTTATGCATTATCTAGTTGCTAGACTGCAGTAGTAAGTTACTGGTACTTTACATTACTTATTCATTTTAATCGATATTCAAAGACTAGTGAAAATAAACACATACTCACACTGTGCTTTTTATCTATTCTTTGATTAGTCTTCCTTAATTCACCAGATGGGGTCAGAGATGGTTTAAAATAAACAGTTCGATTTGCTGCTATGGAAACTGGCTTTGGGGTCATGAGTCTCTGAACAGGGGGGTGTTGAGAGTCCACCTTACAGACAGGCAGAAATCAAAAGACAAACTTTTATTTTCATATATCAGCGATGCATATCTGAAAAGTATTTGACAATAGCTAACGTAACCCAGAGCCTATGAGTACTTCCTAGAGAAATACCCAGTGGGTGCAAACAAATACTAGGAGGAAAAAGTGAAAGTAAAGAACCAAGGGTGTGTGTATTTATATTATTAACTTATGTATGTACTTATTTATTTAGACATATACCTACATATAATTTCAAAACAGTTTCACAGACTATTTTATTCTAGACTTAATGCCTTTTCACACACATGTGACACACACAAAATGGAAACTATTGCAGAGCATTTTGAATAATCTAAGGTTTTACAAGATGAATTTCAAACATATGAACTGATTCATACATAAAACTGACCAACATACATATATATGTTTATTCAAACATAAAACTGATTTTGCCATTTTCCCCAAATTACTATCTACATTCTCTTCAGCTGTATTTTTTAACTAGCTATGAAAATATCTTAATTGCTAAAAAATGAGCAAATCTCTCTCCAAGTAAATTTTCTTCCACTGTTATCTAAAAACCAAATCAAAAGTCGTACAATTTAAGTCTAATTAGTAAAGCACTGGGAAGAATTCCAAATATTAAGATGAACTGGCTTCATTATCTAAGTACACAAGTGTTTTGTCAACATTCTTTTGGTACACTGAAACACAGTAAAAATCCTGTTGGTGTAAGACAACTATAAAGCCAAGAGCTTCTACTCTGTCCGAAGACTGTAATACTATGAATACAGTCCTTTCACCTAGCAGCAGCTGTGATGTGAACAACACTGGTTTCCAGGGCAATGCCTCTGTATAGTTACTAGCTCTTCCCTAAATCCTCATCACAAATGTGCTGATCCTATAATTCAATGAACAAGTCTGTTTTGTAGACTGTTCTGATTACAACTGTAAAACCTGAACTACAATACTGTATTCTGGTCTTTATACTTCCTAGCACCCATTACCAAAATTTTATTGATACTATACTCAACCATTAATAAAATTTTTATTGATGATAACTTCTCTTATGGCACAATTTTTTAATTTTACGTCTTTTTAAGCAATCTGATATAAGTGAGTCTGAGAAAAGCAGCTAATGGCTTAAATTAATCCCATCACAGCAGCCAATAATGAATTCTCTCTTGCCTTATTACAAATGTCTGGGTACTACGGAAAACTGAGAAGCAATGCTATCCCAAGAAAAAACTCAATTAAGCTTTCAGAATTTCAGTAACAATAATTATAATTTACCAATATCTTGAATATAGTTACCACAATTAATTCAGAGATTTATGATAATTTTAATCAATTACTGCTGGGGGAACTTGGTATCATAATAAATGCTTTCACAAGTAATGATCTGGGAATCTGCTTCCCCTGAAGGATATTTAACTAGCCACAAATATAGCTGACAAAAAAATATACCTCTTTAACTCTAACTATCAAGCACTTTTTTCCCCCCACAGTAACCTCCAAAGCTAATTTTAACCAAACAGAATACACTAAAAAAGGTTATCAATGTATAATCTATGTTATATTTTTTATTAGCTCTGCTATCTTGGAACAGTACATTGGCTGACTGATGGAAGATATGCCAACTAGAAATCCCATCACACATAACAAATTTGACATAATGTTTGTTTATGAGGAAAATTTACAAAGATAACTATGTTCAATGAGGGCTTTAGTTCACTGAACTTCTAATTAATAAAAACGTCAAACTCCGTTCACTCTTATTTTCATTTATCAAAAGGTAAGAGTCACTCATAAAGACTGACAGGAATATATAAAATAGATAACTAATAAGAACCTACTGTATAGCACAGGGAACTCTACTCTATACTCCGTAATGGCCTATATGGGAAAAGAATCTAAAAAATGAGTGGACATATGTATAACTGATTCACTTTGCTATACACCTGAAACTAACAAAACATTGTAAATCACCTATACCCCCCCAAAATTTTTTTAAATAATAAAGTTAAAAAAAAAAAAAAAAAAGACTGCCAGGATACTGAAGATGGAAATGCCAAATAACCAAGAAATATTCACTGAGCATCTACTACATATACATACAGCATGTGGTAAGGCCCTCACAAGAGGCTACAATGTCCAAGTAAAAAAATCTGTTTTTTCAAACATGTTCCCTAATGACTATCAATTAAAGTCAATTTGTATATTTGCCAACTTAAAAATAAATACAGGGCCTCCCCGGTGGCGCAATGGTTGAGAGTCCGCCTGCCGATGCAGGGACACAGGTTCGTGCCCCAGTCCGGGCAGATCCCACGCGCCGCGGAGCAGCTAGGCCAAAGTTATAGTATCACCTGGATCAATTTATCCCTGATATTTAAATCAAAGAGCCACGGCCACTGAGCCTGCACGTCCAGAACCTGTGCTCCGCAACGGGAGAGGCCACAACAGTGAGAGGCCCGCATAATGCAAAATAAATAAATAAATACAACAAAACTGCCAATACCTTAAATAAATGCTAACGAAGTCTTACCTTTTCCCTTCTGGCCTGAAAATTTGTGGTGGTATCTATCCCACTCCTATCAAGAGGCTGAAAAAATAAAACACTATTAGAATAGATGGGAAACTTGGAAAAAATATGACTCTCATCACCAATATATAAAAATATTATCTCCTAAGAAGATTTAAAAGTCAACTTACGGAATTCAGAGGAGAAGAAAAAACAGATGGAATTCTTTTTGCATCCTGTTAATATTGAAATAATAAAATTAAGATTTTTCACTAAACTCAAATTCTGTTACACTCCTGAATTTGTGATTTAAAAAATTTACCACTAAAGGGCTTGACATCTTCTCTAAAGACTGCAATATCCTCCGAGCTGTTGAACTAGTCACACCATAGGATTGTGCGTTCAGTTGCTTAGCTTTCATCTGTCTTCTGACTGGTGCCTATAATGTAAACCTTGAGTTATTTGTTGAAACCGTAAACTCTAAAGCACATATTTCAGGCAATGAAAATATTTGCAAAATCGAATGAATGTGAGAAGTGAAATAGGATTAACTGTTAACAGCAACTTATCTCTGGGTGGTATCATTAAGCTCATGTTCAACGTTTTTTCTTTATGCCTTTATTGAAAATTCAATTCTCTGAGAAATTACTTTTACAATCAGATAAAAATGATAAAATAGCACATGCTACTCTAAAGACCAGTCAGCTATGTTAAATGTGAAAAATGAGACAACTGGTAAAAAGTTACAGTAACACCTGGATCAATTTATCCCTGATATTTAAATCAAAGAACACTAATGAGAACTGCATTAGTATTAATCATTTTTGGTATTAAATAACTTCTAACTATAGTAACATCCAAGATAGCTAAACAAGACTGTAAACTTTTATTGAAATGGAAATTAAAAATTTTAAACTGACTTGTTTCTCAAATTTTAGTATAAGAAAAATTTTAAATACTCAGGCTATTTCTTAATAAATGACTTTTAAACGTTCTTAAAATTGGAGTTAAGGAAAAATCCTTATAAAGAATAAACATGTACCCTTTAACACACAAGCAATGTTTACAAATTCTAACAGAAACACTTCCTTTTGTCATGAACGCATTATAACATTCTAATAGCCAAGTGACTACCACAAAACATCCAAGTGACTACCACAAATGTAGTCTGGAAATGCTTAATATAAAAAAATATATGCTCACAATCAAAATATAACTCAGTTTCTATAAATAGCTCATAATATCTGAAAACTTGAATCATAATGACTACTTTAAATAAGTTTCTCTGATACCAATATTCATTTTATTTTCAGAGTAGCTGCAACATTCTACATTAGTTTTATTAAGAACTTGGTGCACTGTTTAGGGCTGCTGTTCAGGCCAGAGGCTTTGGCAAACATGAGGTAACATTAAAATCCTCAGGGAAAACATGACAGTCTGTCATTGGATTCTGCTGATCACTGGCCTCTCAGGGCCTCAATTCACAAATCAATAAAATGGAACTGAATTACAGAATCTTTAATATACCTCCCAGCTCTAACACCCTAGGAAAGGAATAGGAAATAGATTTAACCCCAAATATCAATGATGAACAGTTGGAAGCTCATGCTGACAAGGATTCTAAGGGTATGTCAAGACTCAGCATTAAAAAGTATAGGATTTGATACAAGAAACAGAGGACGTAGTAGCAGAAATATACTCTGACTTGGACTATTCCATGAATCACAGGCATGCTTCATCTTATCTTCTAATACACGCTGAACTATTTTAACTGAAAAAATTTTGTGAAAAAGAGTAATATGATCCAGTTTAAGCTTTAGAAAAAACTCCCTGTGTAACTCCAACATCCAGTTGACACTTTAAGTAACAAAATATTGCCCTTCATGAACACACTCAGAAATAAGACTCATAATTACTGTCAATTACACATAGAAGCATCCTCTACTTAGGAAAGAAACTACTCCTAAAGACAAGACACAATCTTCATACATACTTGCTTTTGTGTCACTTCTATATCATGGATTGTCATCTTCAAATGGATCTCCCTCTCCAAAAGCCTACCAAAAGCCTACAGGCTTAAAGTATTATTACACCTCCATTTTTAAAAGGTCAAAACCTGTAATGTAAGCACCATGACAACATACACATGAAACTGGACTTTTATGATCAAGTAACTCTTGGGACAAAGCACAGAATGATGTAATTTACCTTAAATTGATGTTTTTAAAAAATCAATTTCCAATTGTTCTGTTAATATATGTATGTAAATACAGCTGATTTTGTTCTGTGACCTCGCTAAACTCATTTGTAAGTTCTGACAACTTTTTTTTGGCGTTTCTTAAGGTTTTCTATGTAGATAAGCACGTTGTCTATGAATAGGAGTCATTTTTACTTCTTCCTTTCTAATCAGGGTGCCTTGTATTTCTGTATTCTTGCTGTGGCTAGGTCTTGCAGCACAACACTGATCAGTAGCAGTGACAGCAGACATCCTTGCTCTCTTCCTGATCTTAGGAAGAAAATACTAAGCTTTCGCCATGAGTATGATGCTAGCCGAAGATCTTCCGTAGACAAAATTTATCAGGTTGAGTAGGTTCCCATCTATTCCTAAGTCACTGGAAATTTTTATCATGAATGGATGTTCGATGTGTTTTATGTATCTGTGGAGATGTTCATTCAGTTTTTATTCTTTAGTTTGTTTCCATGGTAGATCACATTAATTTTCAAATGTTGAGCCAACCTTGCATTCCCAGGATAAACCCCACTTGATCATAATGTAGTATCCTTTTTATATATACTGGGTGCAATTTGCAAATATCTGTTGAAAAGGCTTGTGTAGGTAATTCAAGAGAAATACTGGTTTGTAGAGTTCTTGTAAGGTCTTTGTCCGGTTTAATATCAGGGTAATGTTGGCCTCATAAATGTGTTGGAAGTATGCCTTCCTATTGTATGAAAAAGTTTGTATAAAATTGGTATTATTTTCTTCTTAAATGTTTGGTAGAATTTGCCAGGGAAGTTATCTGGGCTTGAAGTTTTCTTTGGTGGAAAGTACTTTAACTATGAATTCAATTTACTGAATAGACTATTTGGGTTATTTATTGTTGACTAATACCAAATAACATAAAATACTTAGGTATACATCCAACAAAATATGTGCAAGGTCTGCGTGATGAATACTACCAAACACTGATGAAAGAAATAGAAAGACCTATATAATGGAGAGACATACTGTGTTCACTGACTGGAAGACTCCGTTTTGTTAAGATGTATATTCTCCCCAAATTGATCTTTAGATTCAATGCAATCACAATTAGAATCCCAGCAGATTTGTGGAAACTGATAAGGTAATTCTAAAATTATGAAAAAGTAAAGGAACTAGGAAAGCCAAAACAATCTTGGGCGGGGGCAGGGGGGTTTGGAAGACTCAGATTACTTGATTTCAAGACTTAATATAAAGATATAGTAATCAAGACAAAAGGACAGTGTTGACAAAAGATAGGTGTATATATATATATGTGCACGTGGACACACACATATCAATGGAAAAGAACAGAAAGTCCAGAAATAGAGCCACATATATGGTCAAATGATTTTCATAAAAGGTGCAAAGGCAATTCAATGGAGAAAATACAGTCTTATCAACAAACAGGACTAGAAAAAATGAAAACCCGTATGTTAAAAAAATGAATCTTGATCTACACCTCATACCACACACAAACATTTTACCTCAAAATGAATCACAGATCTAAATTAAAACCTAAAACTATAAAGCTTCTAAAAGAAAACAGAAGAAAGTCTCTGTGACCTTGGGTTAGGCAAAAATTTCTTAGATATGATACCAAAAGCATGAACCATAAAAGGAAGAAAAAATATGCTGAATGTCATCAAAAGTAAAAACTTCTCTTGACAAGATATTGTTCAGACAAGCCAGAGAATGGGAGAAAATATTTGCAAAACATATATCTAATAAAGGACTCACATCTTGAATAATGAACTCTCAAAACTCACTAATAAGAAAAAAAATTTTTTTAAAAAATGGGCAAAAGGGACAGACAAAATAGGTGAAGGGGACTCATAGGTGTACACTTCAGCTATAAAATAAATAAGTCACAGGGATGTAATGTACACACAGGGAATATAGTCAGTAATATTTTAACAACTTTGTATGGTGATGGATGGTAACTGGTCTTAATGCAGTTGTTTCATAATGTATAAAAATATCAAATCACTATGTTGCACATCTAAAACTAATATTCTATATTCATTTAACTCAGTGAAAAATGTTTTTAGATTCTTTTTTAATGGACAGTAAGACTTGAATTAGGTACTTCACCTAAGATATATTGATGGTAAATAAGCACAAGAAAAGATGCCCAACATCGTTAATCATTAGGGAAATGCAAAACCACAGTGAGTTGGAGTTATCACTACATGCCTACTAGAATGCCTGAAATAAACAAAACACTGATAACAAGCGCTGACCAGAACACACTTGTAACACTGGTGAGAATACTACGTGGTAGCAGCCACTTTGGAAAACACTTTCATGGTTTATTATAAAATTAATGTATATTTACCATCTGACTCAGCAGTCCAACTTCTAGGTATTTTTACCCAAGAGAAATGAAAATTAATGTTTAGAGCAGCTTTATTCACAATGGACAAAAATTATAAACAACCCAAGCATCCTTTCACTGGTGAGCAGATAAACAATAACTCAGCAATAAAAAGGAACTAACTATTGATATAGGCAAATACAGACACTGATCTTAAATACATTACGCTAAGCAGAATAAGCCACATTCAGAAAACTACACAGTACGTGATTAAGTTTATGACATCCTGGGAAAAAAACAAAACTACAGGGAAAGAAAACAGATCAGTGGTTGCCAAGAGGTAGAAGTAGGAAGAAGGGTGCACCGACCTCCGCGTAGGCCGCACGGCCTAGGCCTCAGCGGGCCGCTCACCGCCTGCTTTCTCCGCAGCCCGCCCCTGGGGTCCACTCCCTCACAGGCGGAGGTCCCTCATCGGGGCGAGAGCACCCACACACACACACGCCACTGCGGGCCCGGGGGTGGGAGACCCGGGGGACACGGACACTGGTGGGTGGTTCGGTGTAATTAGCGCGGGCCACGCGCAATGGAGCAAGCGAGGGGGAAAGGGAAAAGGGGAGAGCGAGCGAGGGTGATTTAAAAAAAAAAAAAAAAAAGGAATTTAGGAAAATGAAACGGGCCGCAGAGACAGGCGACTGTCTGTCTGCCGGCCCTTGGTGCCCCCGCTTCCCGACCCCCGCTGCAGTCAGAAATTCACACAAAATGGCGGCTCGGGCCCGGACGTGCCAGGAGGCTGAGGCGGGAGGAAGGGCGAGGTGGGAGGGGTGACTGGGAGGGGGAGGCGGCGTCACGTGGAAGAGATAGGCAGAGACTGCTCTCCCGAAGGGCCGCGGAAAGAGCCGAAGGGAGAGAGTGAGGCATAGAAAAGAAAAAAAAAAAAAGGAGTAGGAAGAAGGGCTGATTACAGAGATACACAAAGTAATATTCTGGGGTGATGGAAATGTTTATTCAGTATTTTGATTGCAGAAGTGGTTACTCAACTGTATGTGTTTAGTTAAAATTCAAATACTATGGAAAGGGTAAATTTTACTACATGTAAATTATACCTCAATTTTTTAAAAAAGGAATTAATCATCATACTTCCTAAAACACACACACACACACACACACACACACACACACACACACACACGGACTTCCCTGGTGGTGCAGTGGTTAAGGATCTGCCTGCTAATGCAGGCAACACAGGTTTGAGCCCTGGTCTGGGAAGATCCCAAATGCCACGGAGCATCTAAGCCTGTGTGCCACAACTACAGAGCCTGCACTCTAGAGCCTGGGAGTCACAACTACTGAGCCCGCATGCCTAGAGCCCATGCTCTGCAACAAGAGAAGCAACCGCAGTGGGAAGCCCGCGCACCGCAACGAAGAGTAGTCCCCACTCGCCGCAACTAGAGAAAGCCTGCACTCAGCAACAAAGACCAAAAGCAGCCAAAAAATACATAAATTTAAAAAAAAGAATCCACCTGCCAATGCGGCAGACAAAGGTTCGATCCCTGGCTGGGGAAGATCCCACATGCCACAGAGCACCTAAGCCCATGCACCACAACTACTGAGCCTGTGCTCTAGAGCCCGCAAGCCACAACTACTGAGCCTGCATTCCACAACTACAGAAAACCACGCACTCTAGGGCCCACATGCCACAATTACTGAGCCCACGTGCTGCAACTACTGAAGCCCGGCGCACCTAGAACCCATGTTCCGCAACAAGAGAAGCCCACATACTGCAACTAGAGAAAGCCCGCGCGCAGCAACCAAAACCCAACACAGCCATAAATGAATGAATGAATGAATGAATGAGTGAATGAATGAATCACAAATAATGTATAAAATGTTCCCTTAGGTCTCAAATAATATTAATATAGCGCCTAAGTGAAAAGACTGTAATCCAGAGTTCTATCATTTCACCAAAGAATAACTAAACCAAAACTCTATTTAAGTGCCAAGTTACTTATTGATTATTAAAAAAAATGGTTACGAATCCTCCTCCTATTCAAACCAACCTGATAGGGTGTGTTTTGTAGTTTAGACTGTCTTACAGCAGCTGCTGCCCCACCATATGTCGTTTTTCCAGGGTAAAAAGGAGAGTCTCCAAGCTGACTTGTTTTAAGAACTGAAGAATTCCCAAGTGACTGCACAAAAACATAATGATAAATTATAAGCAATAAACACTCAAAACTAACATGGTTAAATCAAATCAAATTAGTACTCACAGGAGAAAGTGTTCCAAAGACAGACAAGTTGAATGCTGGTTTTTTTGAGCTGGTGGCAGTGTGCTGTGAGAGTGAATGAGAACGTTCAGCCTCTGGGGACCACAGAGGTGGTACTGAAGTGTTCTTTGAAACAGCTATATCTGAAACAAAAATATGCAATGCATAGTAATGCCACTAATCACAACGCCTATATTTTTATAAATTGAAAATGACAACCAAGTTAGAAAAAATTATCCCATGAAATTTATTTTTACTACCAAAATTATATACTACCAAATGCCAAGAATACCTTTATCAGAAGCTCTTGAAGAAAAACCACTGGTGGTTGAGATGTTATCATCATCATGCTGAGAGGTAGAATCTTTAATTTCCTTTACGAGGGAAAATCCAGAACTGCCAATTGGGAATGCCG